CCTGGACAAAGTTGTTTCGATTGTAAATCCAAGCAACAAATCAAAAGCATTTGTACTCTGTGATGCCGAAAAAGATACAAGAGGCTTCAGCAAATTCTTCTGTGCCAGCATTATTCCCTCTCACTTCTTAATCCTCAACACACAGCAGTACACCAAAGCGTCCTACACCAGCCGTCGTCCCAAAATACGTTCCTGTCAAAGATTCAAACAAATATGTTTTGGGCGGTGTGGATGATCCTGTGCGGGATGTTGATGACTATAAAATAGCTCTCAGTCGAGTGGCATCCCGAGCAGCATCAAAGCCTGAAACAATGGGGCGAATGCTGTGTTCATTGCTCTTGAAAAAGGAGTTTTCAGAAGGTGAACTTGCTTGTAAAAATGTTACCGGTAAAACGAGAGATCCCCTATCTAAGAATATCCTGAATATTCCCAAGCTTGACGACAGCATAATACAGGCTATTTTTCATCAAGCAAGACTCCAATTTCCTGAGTTTCAGGACAGCAACACAGACAGCGGATGCCCAGCCGTTCAACTCCTTAATGATGCATGCAAACACATTCGCCAGAAAATGACCAACACCACTAAATAATGGGTGAATGCATGCATTTACTGTACATTGACTGAAACACTATGGTATAAGATTTTGGAGTGTGCAAATCACGCATTAAAGGGGTAATCTTTAATTTGTCACATTTAAGTAATACTTAATAATTTTATGCTTCTAAAATCTCAGGAAATTTGAATATTTTAGAAGATTATTAAAATCTTAGTTAACATTGTGTTTGGCAATTGATTCCCGCTGCCAAAAATAGCATAGGATGTTCGGAAGCCAGTCTATTTTAATAGAGATTTCTATTTCCAAACTTCGACACTGAAAACATCACACACGATCAAAACTTCTTAAATACTTCAGCGAATGAGTTAGTTCATGGCAGTAGATTCCTGTTAATGGATAGGTACATGTATATCCTGCTTGTGTGTACTATGAAGGTGGCTTTAGTACCCATATCAAGTTTTCAGTGGTCCAGTGGAGCGTGATTTTTCGTTGGACTACCCGCCGGACATGCAGGTATTCTGCTCGCACAATTGGACTGCTGCGCTTCACAAAAAAAAAAAGAATCTATGTCTCAAAACTGCAGAGCATTGCAAACCATGTTTCATGGTTTTATTTTGTTTTTTCCTTCCTCCACACTCGGACTAGATATTATGAGCTCTATTAACCAATAAAATAGGCCTATATATGTACATTTGTACATGTGTGCAAGGGTCATCAGTGCATGCATGTGTAGCAGCCACACGGTACTTTGTATACATGTACATTAGTGTAACCTTGTAGCCGCATTAGCCGCATTCCTTTCTTGACCCGGGAGCCGACCTTTTATTATAATTATTT